GTTTACCAACCCATATTTGATCTCCAACTCCATGCACAGTCCTTGGAGCCCTCCAGGAGTGACCTCTGAGCACAGAGCCAGGAGTAAGCCCTGAGCTCAGCCCATTGTGGTCCTAAAACAAAACAAAACAAAACAAAAAATTCTAACTGCCTTGCATACAGTAAAGCCAGACAGCCTCCTTGCAGATGTAATTTCGTTTGGTTTTGGTGTGTGTGTGTGTGTGTGTGTGTGTGTGTGTGTGTGTGTGTGTGTATGTGTGTGGTGCTGGGTCTCAAATCCAGAGCCTCACATAGATATTGCCTTATGCCGTACTGCCGAGCTGCAACCTTGCCCCATTCAGATGTAGAGAAACTGCTTTATAAGTTCTCGAAGGTTTTCTGATTAACTGAGGCTTACATATTTGATACCATGTGTCACTGGGCTGAAGGATGGGGGCTCTCAAGGGGTGTCAGGAGGCCTGAAGTCCCAACCAGCGAGTCTTATCCAGCTGGTCCCATGGTTCAGTTCTTGGACGTGCTCCAGCTCTGTGGTTCTGGGGATATCTGGGCCACTCAGGTGGTGCTGGGAGCCTCCAGGGCTACACTGGGTGGTGTGAAGGGACACTGTGGTACCAGGAATCGAACCCAGGCATACGCTAGGCCTGTTCACAGGCACTATACTCTCTCGCCCCTCAGCTTCCTTTCCCAAGACATGATAGCGCTTTTCAGAAATCAGTTTTATAATTTGTTACACATAACTTTAGAATTATAATATGGAATTATTTTTTTAAAAAAATAGACCCAGGGGCCGGAGTGATAGCACAGCGGGTAGGGTGTTTGCCTTGCACGCGGCTGACCTGGGTTTAATCCCCAGCATCCCATATGGTCCCCCAAGCACCGCCAGGAGTAATTCCTAAGTGCAGAGCCAGGAATAACCCCTGAGCATCGCTGGGTGTGACCCAAAAAGCAAAATAAATAAATGAATAAATAAAATATAGACCCATAAAGGTTCTGATGAGAAATTGATATATAATATGTGTGAAAAAGATTCATTTTTATGCCATGGAGCATGAGGCCTCTTGAAGGTAAGGTTTTAATTTTATGTTCTTTCATACAGTGTGTTATCTTCTTATAGGTCTCGTAGGCTTTAGTTCACTCTCTTTGCCCTCCCTCTGTGTGACAGGTTCCTCAGGAATCACCTACACTTGGTCAGGGTGCTCCCTGGGGTCAGACTTCAGGCTGTGGTGTCTCTGGTGCTCGCCAGGGGGCACACTCTCTCTTCAGGTGCTCTGTGTGCACAGGCCTCCCTGGGAGCCTGGCTCTTGTGTTGTGGTGCTCTTCGCACATCTGGCAGTCAAGCGGGCCAGGGTTGCTACAGCGCGCGCGCGCACACACACACACACACACAGAGTGACAACTTGTGTGCTGGTGGCACAGCAGAGCCACCAGATGGGAGGCACAGCAGAGCCACCAGATAGGAGGCACCAGATTTTTTTTTTCTTTCTGGGTAGCATCCGGCGATGCTCAGGGGTTACTCCTAGCTCTGCACTCAGGAATTACTCCTGGTGGTGCTCAGAGGACCATATGGGATGCTGGGAATCGAACCCGGGTCGGCCGCGTGTAAGGCAAACACTCTACCTGCTGTGCTATCACTCCAGCCCCAACCCGGAACATTCTTGCTCCTTACGCTTGCAAGGCAGGCACCAGCCGTTGAACCATGTGCTGACCCCCTTGTAAATTTGATGATATTTCTTGGCTCTTCTCTCATAGTGCTAATAAGGCATTCTCTCCAGAGTTCTGCAGCGTCCCCCATAAAGCAGTCTTAGGGCTTGCCCACCACTCCAAGAGGTTCCCTCCTGGCTGGCTGTATCTTGCCCTCCTCCCGTTCTCACTCCAGACAGCACCCATCTCCTGTGTCAACACATCAGCTTTGCCCTGTAGGCATCTACTCTACACTGTCATATATTGTATCTTTTGCATCTGGCATCTTCCAGTTCATCTCTATTGTTTCATGTACTATAGTTTGTTCCTTTCTGTTGTTAGATGCTGTTTGAGTAAATGCCTCTATCATATTTTCTTGGGCTGGAGCAATAGCACAGCGGGTAGGGAGTTTGCCTTGCATGCGGCTGACACGGGTTCGATTTCTCCGTCCCTCTTTGAGAGCCCGGCAAGCTACAGAGAGTATCCCACCTACACGGCAGAGCCTGGCAAGCTCCTCATGGCATATTCGATATGCCAAAAACAGTAACAACAAGTCTCACAATAGAGACGTTACTGATTCTCGCTTGAGCATATAGAATGAACAATGGGACGACAGTGCTACAGTGCCTTTTCTCTTGCTGGGGACCCCAGACTACAGAAGTCAGGTTCACTTTGGTGCATGTGAGACACCAGGGATGAAGCTCAGGACCTCTCATTTGCACTTATTAGTCAATGACTATTTCATTGTTTTGCAGTTACTCCAATAAGCTTGCTACAAATGTCCATATTCAGATTTTTGTATGGACATACATTTTTATTTTTTCTATGACTCTTAGGATTGAAATGTATATGCTAAACAAATTTTTACTTGATGTTTTGTATTTGCAAAGTAAATAGTTTTATTTAGGAAGTATGAGAGACAGAGAACCCCATCAAGTAAAAGAAAAAATTACACATCCCAGAGTTTGAGTGTGGGTAATCCCCTAATGGAATGTGTCTATATTTATGCTTTTAAGACACTGCCAGTTTCCCAAAATGGATTTGCTGCTTTATATTCTGACAAGCAGTTTGTGAATATTCTACTCTCCCCCCTCATGCTTTAGAATTGATGTGTTTTATTATAGTAGTTTTAGTTGCAGTAGAAATGTGACTACATATCAAATTCCCTCCTGAACTTATCTGCTAAAAATCAAACATCTTACCGTTTCTCTATGGGTGCTTCTGTGGGTCAAGAAACTGGCATGTTGGCTTGGTGTTCTAGTTTATAATTCCACGTAAGGCCCCATTCAGGGATTGCTTGGGTCTGTAATCCTCTCCATCATAACCTGAAGCATATCTGATTCAGACAATAGATTCAGGTCCTTCTGCACTGAGTGGTCAGTTCCTCACTGACTGATGCCAAGAAGGCATCCTTCAGTTCTTTGTCTTTTCCATTTCACCAAAACGCAGAGCACATATGACAATTGGCTCCCATCAGAGTGAGTCAATGAGAGGGTGAGCAAGTTCAGACTTGGACTATTGCAACAATCTTAGAAGTGACACCCTATTACTTAAAATCCTTGTGGTCTTAAAATGTACTTTGCTAATGACTAATGATGTTGAACATGATTTCTCATGCGTGGTAATGTGTAAATTCTCTTTCTGTGAAATATCCTCCCCCATACTTCATTTAATAAAAATGGTTGGGGCACAGAGAGTTACAGGGATTGCCTTATATGTGGTCAAACCCGTTTTGATGCCTGAATGCTGAGTCTGGCACAAGCCCTGAGTACCTCTAGGAGTGACCCAGGAACAGAGCCAGGACTAAACCCTAAGCACTGCCATGTATACCCTCCCAATATTGTCAATATTTATACATTCTCAAGACAAATTCTTTATTAGACAAATTCTTTGATTTGCATAATGCATTCTTTTTCTAGTTTTGGTAGCAAATGACCACAAACTTAGCAGTTGAACAACACAAACTTGTTTTAGGTATGTAGGGCTCAGAAGTGATCTTGGGCTCTTGCTGGATGGAAATGCCCAGGTCAGTAACTACCCTCCTTTCTGGAAACTGGGGGAGAATTCACTTCCTGCTCATTCTGGTGACTGATGGTTGGAATTCAGTACCTAGTGTTGCTGGACTTGAGGTCTCAAGTCTTGTTGATTGTAAACTGAAAACCCACCTGAGCTCTTGGAAGCTACTGAAAGCCACTTGGTTCTGGGATCCCCATCCCAACCCCACCTCCATCCTCAGAGACCCGATGTCCCCAAACTACTTCCCAAGGAACGGCATTTCCTAGGCTGCATCTTTTCAAGTCTTTCTCATGAAATCCCTCACCATAGTGGGTAAAGGGAAAGGAAACTCTCTTCGGGACTCCCGTGATTCAATGGGTTACCCCTGGCTAATATTCTCCTCTCCATGTCTCCAGATCTATAACCTAGATCACGTGCGTAAGGTCCCTGTGACATCTAAGGGAACATAGTCATAGGTTCTGAGGATTAGAAAGTGAAAGTTGGGGAGGGACAGGTTTTTCTGCCTACCAGACAAATATTTTCTTTCAGTCTATGGATTACCGTTTCATCTTCTTAATGGTGTTCCTTGAAGCACAGACTTTCATTTTGATGAAATTCAATATATTGATTTTTCCCTTTTCATGCATGATGCGAAGAACACACTGGATAATCCAAGGTCACAAGATTTTTTTAAAAAAATAGTTTTAGCGCTTCGATTTATGAATCATTTGGAGGTAATGTTTATGTATGGTGCCAGGGAGGCACCTAAGATGTTTATTTTGTATGTAGATAGTCAATTGATTCAGCACCATTTGCTGAAAAAAAAACTCTTATTTTATTGAATTATTTTGCTGCCTGTGTAGAAGATCAATTGCCACTATTATAAAATCTATTTGTGAATTCTCACTGTTCCTCCATAGATTTGTATGTCTCTCCCTGTACCAGACCACACTATTTGCTGCGTTAAAAATTTTATTTTGTTATTATTAAGAATGGGTTAGCAATTTTATTTTGTTATTATTAAGAACGGGTTATGACTATTTTCCTTTAACTCATTGTTTTATTATTTAACCTATTATAAAATTGGCTTGGAAGATGCAACTTTTTTGTTTAAATTAGAATCACAAAATGATTTTGAGCCTGTTAAATTCTGTATGATGGGGGTAAGTTACATGTGAATTGGTATTAGTATTTCATTAACTGTCTTGATGAATACTATTTAATTTTGTACTTTGAAGTGACGACTATTACTATTTATTACTATTTACTATTACCTTTGTACGAGTGACATTTCTAAAAGTGGCGTTGCCTCCGTATTTCTCTCAGCCCAGTCTCTGGGATCCCGCAGAATTCGCAACAGACGCGTTCAGGACTTGCCCAACATGGACTCCATCTTCGCCGAGGCCATTGTGAAGATGCGAAAGCAGCACCCCGGGTGCCTGTCTCAGGAGACTTGTGTCCAAGCCGTCCAGGCTGCGGTGCTCTATCCTTACGAGGAGGGCATCAAGAAGGAGGAGGAGCTGTTCATGTACCTCCGGGCCTCTGGCCAGGCTAGAGGCCTTCAATATGCCTTCTTTGCTGAGAGGAATGCAAATAAGTGGTCCACCCCATCCGGAGCCTCCTGGAAAACATCCACAGCCCGACCCATCTCCTCAGTTGGCGTTCTCGGTAAGAACAGGGGTTAATTGGGCCCTTCCGAATCTGCACAGGTCCAGCACTACCCTTTACTTAGCAACTCCAAGCTTTATGCTAAATTTATAATCTACGAGAATTATCTTCCGTTCACCTCCACTCATGAAATATCATCCTTTGTTTTTTTTTTGAGATAACATTAGCTTACACGTCTGTATATATTTTAGGTGGACAGTTGCACACTCCTTCAAAGTATCTGATGCCACAGCCAACCACCACGAAAGTGTCAGTATCCCTCCACCAGAGTCAGTTGGAGGTCCTGTCCTCATGCAGCCCCAACCCATTGCCCTTCTGATAATCACAGCTAGGGGTCAGAGTCTACTGGTTTGATGTCTTTTTTTTTTTTTTTAAATTAAAGCACCATAATTTACAAAGTTACTTATAGTGCTTTGAATATTGCAGCAACTGATCCCACCACAAGTGTCAACTTCCTTCCACTGAGGTTGCCAAGTTCCCTCCCATATTCGGCCACCAGCCTGCCCTCTTGAGAAGGCACTTTTTTAAAGTTCAGTTGTTGAAGTTTGGGTGTCTTGATTTCAGTGTTGTTGATCTGTGGTTTGGATATTGACCGTATCATTCCTCAACACCACCGTTGGGCCTGAATCCCCTAATGTGGCCCCATTGTTTTGCAGCTGTCTCTTCTCCCCTCCACTCTTTCTTTCCCTTTCCTCCCTGTACTCTGCTAGGTTTATATCTGTTCCTTCATTGTGATTCTTTACAGCTTGCATATGAGTGAGATCATCTAATATTTGTCTTTCTCCTTCTGACTTATTTCTCTTAATATACTATTCCCACTTCCATCCACATTATAGCATTAGGCAAGACTTTATTTATTTTTCATTGTGTATATATGCTACAATGCTACAACTGTTTTTGGGTTTTTTATGTTTCTTTTTTTTTTTTTGGTTGGTTTGGGGGCCACACCCAGTGGTGCTCAGGTCTTATTCCTGGCTCTATGCTAAGGGATCACTCCTAGTGGACTCAGGGAGCCAAATAGGGTATTGGGGATCGAACCAGAGTCAGCTGTCTGCAAGATAAACACTCTACCCACTTTACTATCACTCCAGGCCATGTCACGACTCTTTTATCCACCCATCTATCATCAGGCACTTGGGTTGTTTTCAGATCTTGGCTATTGTAAATAGTTCTACACTGGACATAGATGTGCAGGCATCTTTTTAGATTCGCGTTTTAATATCCTCATTTTACATATGTGTCCTTGAGATGAAAATTTTCTCAAGGATGAGTTAAACACCTGGAATTTGGGGGTTTTTATTTTTTGTAGTTGAGGTAACGTAAGGTTACAGTAGTGGTCCAAGATTAATGACAGCTTTTGATCTCCTCTGAGATTTATTTATGAAATTTATTTATGCAAGGCAGATAAATAAGCTTACATTGCTGAACCAGAGGTGGTTTGCGGGTATAGCTCGCCCATACCTACCTTTTGACTGCTTGATTTCTTGGGAAACTTGGTCCCGAATTGATGGGGTTTGGCTAGAGGCACAGCTGTAGTTTTGAGGTATCAGGAAGCCTGAAGGAGCCATCTGGCTGCTGATGCACTCGCCCCGCAGGTACAGGTTGACCTGCTGGTTGCACTGCACTCCCCCCATCCCCAAACAGAAAGTCTTATTTCTTCAGAAGTTAGCTCTCAGGATGGCTCTGTTGGACTACTTTCCAAAGTTTCATTGACTCAAAGTTTTGACCCTAGAATAGTCTTAAGCAGATTTCCAAGCTCACTAAAATGGTGAAGAAAATGTTCTGTCAGTTTATGAACAGTCTTCTGTCAGGGGAGGTCTGATGTGCTGAAATAGCTTTCTTAGCCTTCACTACCTTCTTCAGCCATAACTCTTAGAGGAAACGAGCCCATTCAGCATCTCCTCAGCAGACTGTCTCAGTCAGATTTTCCTATTCGACCACCTGTGTTTTATGCCAGCGCACAGATCCTCTGGTGCTGATGTTCTTCACTTGTGATTTATTATTATTTGGAGGTGGGGTTGGACCATACCTGACTGTGCTCGGAGCTGACTCCTGGCCCTGTGCTCAAAGATCACAAGCGCCTCACCCTGTGGACTATCTCTCCAGCCAATTATGTGTTATCCAATAATTTAAAACAGTTTGAAAATTAATTCAGTGAGTTCTGACAACAATCTATATTCAGTCCCCACAACTAGTCAGTGTGAGGGGGAGGACAGTTATAGATAAGGAATTTTCACCAAATGTTTCCATACACCATGGGTTGGTTAAGTAACAGACGCCCCACCAATGTCATTGGCTTAACACAAACCCAGATTTCTTGCCTCTACGCTCCACTGAGTCACTCAAAGACCAGGTTCTGCCCCAGAGTGGCTCTGCCAAGGGCCTGTAAACTTTTTCTGTACCGTGCCAGATGGTACACCGTTTCAGACTCTGTGGTCTGGACACCCTTTATGGAAATTGCTGGGCTCAGTTCTGCCGTGGAGCACAGAAACAGCCACTGACAATGCGGAAAGAGGTCAGTGCAGTTGGGTTCCGACCAAGCTTTATTTATGGACCTGAAATTAAAATTTGATATAATGCCGTGTGTCACAAAATAGTCTGCCTTTGTTCGTCAGCTATTGGGAATGTGAAAACGTTCTCTGCTGGCAAGTAGGACAGATGTGGATAGTGGGCCAGGCTGGCCTGCAGGCCACTGTGTGTGGTAGCCTGCTCTTGGTTTTCCTTCCAAGGCTTTGGCGTTTCTCTCTGCACACTCTCTGTCTCGTAGGAGTAATGAGGGCACGTGAGAGTTTTAAGGACCCAGTTGTAGATCCCATATCCAACCCCTTTTGTTTCATTAACCCGAATTGGCCCTCCACTCTCCCTGGATATGAAAGGCATGGAAAATACAGACCTGTCTGTGCCTAGAGAAAATGAGAGGGTGAAAGGGAGGAACTGCGGCTGTTTTCTGTTCTCCTTGCCTCTGCTTGAAACTTCATTTCAGGAAAGAAAAATTGGAGAGGAAGGGGAGAAGAGTCAGATGAGATGCTCAGGTGGGGGGGGGGGGGTAGGTCACGGGATGCAGGTACAAAGGTGTTGTTAAGGGATGATAGAATCGAATGTCCAAGCTACAGAGTCAACAGCACTGAAATCAAGAGACCCGAACTTTAACAAAGGAACTTCGAAAGGTGCCTGTCCAGAGCAGGGGATGGGGGGAGAGGGAAAAATGTGGGAGGGAAGCTGGGAAACTTGGTGGAGTGAAGTTAACACTGGGGACCGGTTGCTGCAATATTGTATATCTAAAACTCAGCTATGAAGAACTTTGTAGATCACTGTGCTTTAAAAAATGGGAAAAATAATGCACTTTGGGACTATGCATTTTTTCTTTCTTTCTTTCTTTTTGGATCACACCCAGCGATTCCCAGGGTTTTTCGTGGCTCTGCACTCAGGAATTTCTCCTGGCGGTGCTTGGGGGACCATATGGGATGCTGGAGATCGAACCCGGGTCGACCCTGTGCAAGGCAAATGCCCTACCCACTGTACTATCTCTCCGGCCCCCAGACTATGCATTCTTAAATTTAAATGTTCCTAGTCTTATGCTTATGTTCTACTAAATCCATGAAATAAAGACCTTTCGTTTTTGAGCACCCCCCCCCCCAAAAAAAGAACCCACTTCCTTTTTTTTTTCAAACAATGGTTCAACTTGCCTAATTTTTCCTCTTTCAGTATATCCCACTCCAGTTATTTCTTGGAATACTTTTATTTTGAATCTTCTATTTGTTGTTCCAAGCAAATGTCATCTCTTTGGATTATCAAAGATACCTGAATCACCATATCCTCTGTACCTTGCAGATGGGTAATTATGAGCTGCTTCTCTCCACTAGATTATAATCTCCCTTAGGTTGGGACTAGTCATGTCTTTCCCATCCCCATAACTTCCCTTTTGTTGTTGCAATGACCAGGATTTTCACACTCTTTCTAGTGGTGCTTGCACACTTTCATTGGGGTTTTCATTGGGGAGCACACACTTTTATTTGTGGTGCTTGTACACAGTTTTGTTGTAGTAACAACTACTGTGGAGGTTGTACACTTGGAGGTGATATTCACTTGCCTTTTGGGTTACAGTGCGAGCACACTTCAGTACAGTGCTTGCTGGGAGTTGCTTGCTTTAGTTTCACTGCTCGTTTTCTTGGTTGCACTATACTAAAGATCTCACACTTCATGGTGCGGGGAGCAGGAGACATTAATAGGGGTTAAGGCTCTTGCCATGGTTGACTCCAGTTTGATACCTGATGCTGCCTGTGGTCCCTTGAGCAGAGCTGGGAGTAAGCCCGGAGCATTGCTGGATGTGATATCCCTAAACCACCCAACACCAGAAAGAGAGATCTCATGCTTTATTATGGTGCTGGAGGTATCAGAAGGAAGTGCGCTGGTGATTACACTCAGCTTGTGGGGTAGTGCTAGGGCCACAGCAAATTTATGCACCACAATTTATATCTCATGTACAGCAAGCAGGCACTCAACCACTTAGTTCTGTGTAGGACTCTTTTTTTTTTTTTTTTGCTTTTTTGGGTCACACCTGGTGGTGCACAGGGCTTACTCCTGGCTCATGCACTCAGAAATTACTCCTGGCGGTGCTTGGAGGACCATATGGTATGCTAGGAATTGAACCCGGGTTGGCCGCATGCAAGGCAAATGTCCTACCCACTGTGCTATCGCTCCAGCCCCAACCCCTACTCATTTTTAAATAATAGTTTGAGATGAAACTCAGGTATGATAAAGTTCTGCCTTTTAAAAAGCTACAATTTAATGGTACAACTGCAACATGGCAGTTCTTAAAATATTCAACATTAAATGACTGTATGATCCAGAAGTTCCACTCTGGGTATATACCCAAAAGAAATAGAAACGTTCTTGCAAAATACTTGAAAACAGAAACTTGAATAGATATGTGTACCCTTGTGTTTATAGCCACATCATTCTCAGCAGCCTAAAGGTGGAAGCAGCTCATGTTGACCAATGGGTGGATAAACTAGAATTTAATAGACATACAATGAGATATTATCCAGTCTTAATAAGGCAAGAAATTCTGGCATATGACAATATTAACGCTCATTGAGGGTATTATACTAAAGGAAATAAGATAGTAGCGTGACTACTTTGCTATGAACATTTGTGTTCAAGTTTAATGTGGACAAATGTCTTCACTTTTCTTGAGTATACACACAAACACACACACACATACACACACATCTACCAACATGTAGAATCACTAGATCATATGGCAGCTCCATATTAAATATTTTAAGTAACTTGCAAACTGTTTTCCATAGCAGCTGCATCATTTTACAATCTACCAGCCGTGTATCATGGTTTCTCTTCCGCATCCTCACTAGAATTTGTTGTTGTCTATTTTTATAATTACAGCTATTCTAGAGAATATGAAATGGCAACTCACAGTGGTTTTGATTTACATTTCCTCAATTACTAATGATGTGATGTGTTTCTTCATATAGTTATTGGCCATTTGTTTATCTTCCGTGGAGAAATGTTTATTAGACCCTTTGTCTAATTTTAAATTAGATTGTGTTTTATTACTGAGTTGTAAAGACTTTTTTACATTTTCTTTTTTGGGGGGAGGGGCACTCCTATGGTGCTCAGGGCTTACTCCAGGCTCTGTACTCAGCAGTCACTCCTCGTGGTGCTCAGGGGACCATCTGGGCTGCCAAGGATCAAACCTGAGTTGGCCACGTGCAAGGCAAGCACTCTACCTGCTGTAATATCTCTCCAAACCCAAATTTTTTATGTTTTCTAATACTGACCTTTTTTTAAAATATTGTTTTTGTTGTTCTGGATTTCTAAATTTTAACATCTGCTTGTTAATTTCTGAAAGAATAATCAGGTATTTTATAGGAATTGCTTTGGATCTACAGGTCAATTTGGGTAGAATTGCAATCTTGTGAACACAGAATGGATGACTTTCCATTTATTTAGGTCTTCTCATTTCTCTCAACACTGTTTCTGCTTTTAGTGTCTAAGTCTTGCAGTTCTTTATTGAATTTATTCAAAGTGTTTTATTCTTGTTGGTGCTATTATAAGTAACATTGCCTTAATTACATATTCAGATTGTTCATTGCTGGTATTTAGAAATAAAATGGATTTTTTTTGTATATTGATCTTGTATCTTGCAATCTTGATAAACTTGTTTATTGTGTGTACGTGTGTGTATACTTGTGAATCCTACTCAATATTATAGTCTTTGGAATATTTAACACAGTGCCTAATCTTAATTAGTATTCAATTCATTTGTATTCCTTGAATTGATCTCTTTAAATGCTTTATTGCCATAAAAGACTTCTATCCACAGTGTAATTTTCCATCTCCCAAGATCAAAGTATCATTCTTTTTCTCCTTTCTTCTTATCTGCAGGCTTGGGAACAATGGGCCGGGGCATTGTCCTTTCTCTTGCAAAGGCCAAGATACCCGTGGTTGCTGTGGAATCAGACAAAAAGCAGCTCCAGATTGCAGACAAGATAATAACCTCAATTTTGGAAAAGGAAGCTTCCAAAATGCAGCAGAATGGCTACCCAGGGTCAGGACCAAAGCCCAAGTTAACTACATCTCTGAAGGATCTCAGTGGTGTAGATTTAGTTATCGAGGCAGTATTTGAGGAGATGAACCTTAAAAAACGGGTCTTTGCTGAACTGTCAGCTGTGTGTAAGCCAGAAGCCTTCTTATGCACCAATACTTCAGCCCTAGATATCGATGAGATTGCTTCTGCCACAGATCGTCCTCACTTGGTCATTGGCACTCACTTCTTCTCACCTGCTCATATTATGAAGTTATTGGAGGTTATTCCCAGCCAACACTCCTCCCCCACTACCATCGCCACTGTTATGAACTTAGCAAAAAAGATAAAAAAATTTGGTGTTGTTGTAGGCAACTGTTTTGGATTTGTTGGGAATCGAATGCTGTTTCCATATTACAGTCAGACGCATTTCTTGTTAGAGGAAGGCAGTACCCCACAGGAGATAGATCAAGTACTGGAGGAGTTTGGTTTCAAAATGGGACCCTTCAGAGTGTCTGATCTTGCAGGGTTGGATGTAGGTTGGAAATCTCGAAAGGGGCAAGGTCTTACTGGACCTGCGTTGCCCCCAGGAACTCCTGCCCGAATGCGAGGCTATAAGAGATATTGCCCAATTCCTGACATGCTCTGTGAAGCAGGGCGATTTGGCCAGAAGACAGGGAAAGGTTGGTACCAATATGACAAGCCACTGGGTAGGATTCACAAACCTGACCCCTGGCTTGCCAAATTCCTGTCACAATACAGAGAAACCCATCACATCGAACCACGGATCATTAGCCAGGAAGAGATCCTTGAGCGATGCATATACTCACTCATCAATGAAGCATTCCGCATCTTGGAGGATGGGATGGCTGCTGGCCCAGAACACATTGATGTTGTCTATTTACATGGCTATGGATGGCCAAGGCACAAGGGTGGCCCCATGTTCTATGCATCCACAGTTGGGTTGCCCACCGTGCTAGAGAAGTTGCAGAAATATTATAGGCAGCATCCTGATATTCCCCAGCTAGAGCCTTGTAACTACCTGAAAAAACTGGCCTCCCAGGGAAATCCTCCTTTAAAAGAATGGCAACGCTTGACAGGTTCCCCATGCAGTAAGTTATGATTTTCATTTGCTTCACATGCTGGCATCAGGTAATTTTATTGAAATTAAACCCAAAAAGCCAAAGTAAGATCATTCTGAAATTCAGTGAAAAGAAATCATTAGTCAGCTAAGTCCCCTTCCTGGGTCTTCTGGGTAATGATTTTTTAGCATCAAATATTTAGGAATGTGCTTTCTAGACCTCTGGTTCTATTCCCATCAAAGAAATGACTTCAGTCCCAGTGAGTAACGTGTTAATACCATGATAATGAAGAAGAGGACTTCAGGAATCATTAAGATTACCAAGTCCAGGCTGGAGCGATAGCACAGCGAATAGGATATTTGCCGTGCATGCGGCTGACCGGGTTCAATTCCCAGCAACCCATATGGTTCCCTGAGCACTGCCAGGGGTAATTCCTGAGTGCAGAGCCAGGAGTGACCCCTGTGCATCACCAGGTGTGACCCAAAAAGAAAAAAAAAGATTACCAAGTCCTTGGATTATTGGAGAAATAATGTCATCACTTAACAACTTAAATATAACTAAATCATAAATCTATTCTGACCTCTTCCAACTTCACACATAAAGCCTTGGTAGGAAATCTTATGCCTCCTTCATTCAATGCTCACTCATTGTATATGTCCTGAGCACTTTTCATAGCATGTCTCAGACCTGTTGTCCAGCAGGACATTAATCCAACAAGGAAACCTGTGACAGAAGTTTAGTCTGTAACTGTGGAGGCGAAATGAAGACAGTTGGCAAGGTAGAGTTAGTGATGAGGGTGTCTCTGCATGAGCCTGGAAAGCCACTCAAGGAATGGCAAAGAGAAGCAAGGTATTGAGAGCAGAGTGATGTTATTAGAGCTGTTAGCCGGGCAGTGTTGGGGGGATGACTACTTCAGACCAGAAAGGAACTCAGAGTAGCACGCACAGTGCCGCTCAATGCATTGCTCTGCCTAGGCATGTGTCCCAGTGACACAAACACATCCTGCTTGCTGCTCACAAGGGGACCAGTGATGCTTGTTGATACTTTTCTTGAGCTGGGCCATGTCCACAACCTGGTCTTACTTGACAATTGCTTTTTATGGAGAAAACATAGTGAGTTGTTGACTTAGTGTGAGAAGGAATCTTCAAAAACATCTAACCTTCTCTAATTCTGTGGAGTGATGGTACCTATTTCCCCACCACAGTTAGTCTCTATGATGTTGGATACAGAAGTGGATGAGTCTTGAAAAAAAATGCAAAATTATTGCCAAACAAAAAAATTTTAAAGGTTTTGTCATGAGTTTTCTTAACCCTTTGTCTCATAGGGTTGAATTCAGGGGCTGGGCCTGGACGGATAGTATAGCTGGTAAGGTGCTGGCTTTGCATACAGTTGACTTGGATTTGATCTCTGACATTCCATATGGTTCCCCCAAGCACCACCAGGAATTATTCCTGAGTGCAGGGCCTGGAGTAACCCCTGAGCACCACTGGCTGTGGCTCAAAAACAAAAACAAACCCAAAAGAGCTCGTCAATACAAAAGTTGGATGCAAATATTTATCTAGGAATTAAACTAATCAAAGATGAAAAATAAATCTGATGTCTATTAACTAAGGAATGACTAAACACATGTGGAATAGCCAATACAGTATAACAGAATTGGCCCTGAAAAGAAATGAAGTACTGATGTATGCCACAATATGAGAAATATTGGGAATATCATGTCAAATGGAAGAAGCCAGTCACCAAGGCCATGTATTGTAAGGACATTTATATCAAATGCCCAGTGATTGTCTGACAGAACTGTGGGGTAACAGCTAATAGACATAGGATTTCTCTTTGTGTTAGGACAGTGTTCTAAAATTATCATGATGATGGTCACATTACTCTATGAATCTACTAAACACCACTGGGTTATGTACTTAAAATTGGTGAATTTTGTATGTTAATCATATTGCAATAAAGCTGTTAACAAATAAAACAAATAAATGGACTCAAGTTCTTCTAGTTTGATATCAATGAACTGTTTTTACAATTTTTTTACCTGTGAATGCAAATAACGTTATCAAAAGTTCTGGATGAAAGAGCTGGTACAGTGGGTTAAGGCACTTACCTTGCATGCGACTGACCCTGGTTTTTTTTTTTTTCAATGAGACTCCCAGCTTTATTTATTTATTATTGAATCACCATGAGATAGTCACAAAGCTTTCATGTCTGAGTTTCTGTCATACAATGATCGAACACCCGTCCCTCTACCAGTGCACATTTTCCATCACAAATATCCCCAGTATCCCTCCCTCCATTCCACTCTTCCCCCGCTTCTATGACAGAAATTTCCCCCATACTCTCTCTCTCTACTTTGGGGCATTATGGTTTGCAATACAGATACTGAGAGACATTCACATTTGGACCTTTATCTACTTTCAGCACACTTCTCCCATTCTGAGCAATCCCTCCAATCATCAGTGACTCTGTGATCCCTTCTCTATTTCAGCTGTCTTCTCCTCCAGCTCGTTAGGTAGGCTTCCAACTGTGGAGCAATCTTCCTGACCGTTGTGTGACCCTGGTTTTATCCCTTGCACCACTCATGCATGGTCCCCTGAACACCATGAGGAGTGATCTCTGAGCACAGAACCAGGAGTAAGCCTAGCACTGCAGGACAGTGTCTGATAGAGGAGGGGCAAGAAGATAACTCCAGGGGCTGGAGCACATGAGCAGATTGGGTTGGATCCTCAGCAACTCATTGTCTCAAGAGCATGACTGGGTGCAGCCCTGCAATTCCCAACTTAGATGCTCCCTGACTAGGGAGGCCCTATAAACAAACTAAAAATATCTGATAGGGAACTCTTGAATAAATGTCGGGTATCTTCTCATTGCAAAGGGAGGGGGAAATGTCCTAGAATATATTTTAAATTGCAGATCTGCAGTTTAGAATAATTTTTAAGATGTACCCTCTAGATTTTATATAAATTGTTCCTTGGAATTAAAAACTTCGGTAGAAAAGATTCCAGAAAGCAGCAATTTCCCGCCCCCCAAATGGCTTGTTTTCAAATTTAATGTAAAAACCCAAAATAGGCACTGAAGAAATAGTAGAGCAGTAAAGGTGCTCACCTTGCATGCAGCTAACCTTGGCACTCCCCCCCACCCACCCCACCCACCCCTACGTCCCCACCCCGCCCCAGCCTTCTAGGAGTGATCCCTGAGCACAGAGCCAGGAATAAGCCCTAAGCACTACCGAGCATGCGTTTCCTCACCAAAGCAAACAAAAATACCCTCACACATTAACATTTTCTTCCATAGACTTTGAGTGAATTTTTTTAATGGGTCACGCCCCACAGTGTTCAGTGCTTACTCCTGGCTCTGTGCTCTGTTCTGGGACCACTCCTGGTGATGCTGAGGTGGCCATATGGGGCATTTGGGATAGAGTCCAGATTGACAGTGCAAGGCAAGGGCTCTATCCACTGCGCTATCTCTCCAGCCCCTTATTTTGGGTTTTTAACAAGAATTCCTGTCCCCCACCCCAATATGTTCCTCTAGACTGGGATTTTGGAAACTAGAATGAATGTTTTTGAATAAATATTATGAGTCAGTAATCCCTGAAATTTTATGCTGTTTTCTGAGTGCCTCTCTTAGAAGTAGTACCTTCTCTAATTCCCCAAATCATCTATAACCCAACAAAAGCTGAGAATAAAATATTACCTGGGAAGAAGAAATAGTAGTTCACTTATTTTTGACCCAATGTAGGAAAAACTCACTCTAATATTTTTGGACCCTGCAATAATAGACGTTCATCAGCATAATGTGAATGAAAGCACGGGAGCATGCACAGAAAATATTTCGGTGAGAAGATCAGAGGAGGCGTGTAATTCCTGATGGACAGTGTCATATTGGACCTCTGAAGTTCGTCACTTCTATTCTGTGGCACTTTTTAAAAGATTGTTTTTCAACTCAGGCAAATGAAGCAGAAACAACAATAGAACTAACTCCTAGACTCCATGAAAATTATGGCGGTCCCCAGAGGGAGTGGCAGAAATGGGTCAGAGGGCTCGTTTGGGGGTGATGGCCCTGGAACTTTGGGGGAGGGTGAAGTGAGGCCCCTCATGTATAGAGGCATAAAGCTTCACCCCTGCAATGTCATGCAAGTGGCAGCCAATGATAAGGCAATGAAATAAACATACAGTACAGTTAAGGTGTATTTCCTTTACGTACTTCTAATCAGTTTTCTTTAAAAATGTAAAAATAATCAAGACAAATCTCAATTTGGTATTGGGCCTACTGGCAAAGCCTGGCAAGCTACCTGTTATGTATTCGATATGCCAAACACAGTTAACAATTTTAAAACCACCTATCATTTTTTTAAAAACTAAGAAGAGGGGCTGGAGTGATACAGCGGGTAGGGAGGGCATTTACTTTGCACGAGACTGACCGAGTTCGATCCCCAGCATCCCATATGGTCCTCTGAGCACCACCAGGAGTAATTGCTGAGCACAGAGCCAGAAGTAACACTAGAGTACTGCCAGGTGTGACCCTTCCTTCCCCCACAAATGAAGAAGAATCAAAGAACAGCTTCTGAATTCTGAAAGCCATTCTTGGAATGTATCATAACAGCATGCAGACAAAAGCTGCATCTTAATACCGAAGCTTTAAAGATGAGACTAATGATGATTCTCCAATCAGGGAGCAACAGTGCAGCTGTGGATGCCATCGAATCATTTCCAGCAGGAACAGGTGTGTGTTGAGCGTGATAAAGCGTGGGACTCTAACCCCCCCCTGATTAATGATGCTACAGAATCGTTGATGCAAATCATATTCCCCAGCACCATAGGAACTTGTTTTAAAATAACCTCTGCGAGAACAGAGAAGACTTAGACACCCCCTAGGACTGTCAGAGCGGTTTGTTTCTCTGACTGCCTTCGACTTGTTTAGAGATGCACAGATATTATAGTGTTTCCCAGCAGGACCGCTCTGAAGGACCCGGATCATACTGGATTCAAGAGGCTGCCATCACAGAAGAATGATGTGAAAAGTGTGGGAGGAGAGAGAGGACAGCGGGTAAGATGCTTGCTGTGCACGGGGTTGGCCCAGCTCCTGCTGCTTCTATTTTTTTTTTATCTAATTAGTGCTTTCCTTTTTTATTATTATTATTTTTTACAGGCTAAGCCCTCTTTGTTTACATTTTGTTAATTGAGATTGGCGACCTTTTGTATTATATCCCATCCAATATGGTGTGCTGACTCTTGGTTTATGAGTGTCGTAGAGTTTGAGATGCAGTGAGGCTGCGGATGCAGGGTGTAGGAACATTGTCTGCCAGCTTCTATCTTGGCATGCCATCTGGCCCCCAAGTCTCACCAGGAGTGATTCCTGAGCACAGAGCCAAGGGTGACCCCTGGGCACCACTGAGGGAGGCCCAAAACAAACAAACAAAAAGAATGTAAAAAGTGAACCAGTACCCCTTCACGTTGGAAAATATAGAACAGTTTCCAGGGCACTCCATGGTGTGCCTCCAGACTCTCCCATTTACTGCTTAGTGTTTGCTTGTTTCCATCCTTCCTTCCTTCCTTCCTTCCTTCCTTCCCTCCTTCCCTCCTTCCCTCCTTCCCTCCTTCCCTCCTTCCCTCCTTCCTTCCTTCCTTCCTTCCTTCCTTCCTTCCTTCCTTCCTCCCTCCCTCCCTCCCTCCCTCCCTCCCTCCCTCCCTCCCTCCCTCCCTCCCTCCTTTCTTTCTTTCTTTCTTTCTTTCTTTCTTTCTTTTGCCTGTCAAAGAGGCAGGCTGGGGGCTGGAGCAATAGCACAGCGGGTAGGGCGTTTGCCTTGCACACAGCCGACCCGGGTTCGATTTCCAGCATCCCATGTGGTCCCCTGAGCACCACCAGGAGTGATTCCTTAGTGCAGAGCCAGGAGTAACCCCTGAGCATCGCCGGGTATGACCCAAAAAGCAAAAGCAAAAGCAAAAAAAAAAAAAAAGGCAGGCTGGTGGGTGCTAAGAAAACCGAGGACATTGGTGGAGGGACTTTGACACTGGTGAAAGGATTGGTGTAGGAACATTATCTGCCTGAAATTCAAAACTTTGTAAATCACAGTGCCTCAATAAAACATTTTTTTAAAAAAGAAAGGGAGGGGCTGGAATGATAGCACAGTGGGTAGGGCGTTTTTCTTGCACACGGCCGACCCGGGTTTTATTCCCAGCATCCCATATGGTCCCCTGAGCCCCACCAGGAGTAATTCCTGAGTGCAAAGCCTGGAGGAAAGAAAGAAAGAAAGAGAAAGGGAAGAAAGAGGAAGGGAGAGAAAAAAGAAAGAAAAGAAAAGAGAAAAGAAAAGAAAAGAAAAGAAAAGAAAAGAAAAGGAGCTGTAGCAATAGTACAATGAATACTGCACCTGTCTTGTGCCCTGCTGACCTGGGTTTGATTTCCAGTACGACATGTGGTCTCCCAAAACTCACCAGGAGTGATTCCTGAGAGCAGAGTAAGGAGTAATCCCTGAGCACCACTAGGTGTGGCCCCCAAAACAAAAATAAATGAAAGAAAGATAGGAAGAGAGAAAGAAAAAGCATTTCCCTACCATAGACTTCATCATTGCAAGTACCTAAACCATAATAAACACATTTAAAAAAATAAATTTAAAAGGAAAAGAAAAAAATTTCAGTGTGACTTTTAAAAATCTTGATGATGAATTTCTCATTAAATTCCTGTTATATTTCGCATAGAATTGTGTAAAGTGGTTTCATGAAGTTGTCTTCCGAGAATCTGATGACAGGACTTGAAATCAACCCTTAGTAGGAATTAGCCTCACAGGCTTAATTCAGCCTCAGTGACTGCTACTTAATTGGAGATTAAAGCACTTACAGAAAAATATATGTGGTATCAAAAAAAGGAGAGGAGAGGTGGTCAGCTGTGGCACAAAGGAACAAAAGTTGTTCAGGAAGGAATACTGACTCTCAGCTCTGACCCAAAGAAAGAAGGGAAGGGGAGAGAAGAGGAGGGGAGGGGAGGGGAAGAAAAGGAAGGTGTGGGGA